TTGATTTCCCTTCTAAGTTTTTTACGCGCTTGTGCCAATTCCTTCTCCAAGGAGGGAACCGCCGCACCCATCTTCTTGCGAGCTCTAGTTACCCTACGTCGAATAGAGTTGCAATCCCGCCTCAACGTCGCAATGGTGTCGTTCCACCAATATGCTGCCTTTCTTCTATTGGACCTATGGCGTGTCATCGCCAAGTCCGAGGCTATAGCCAAAGCCTCCTGCAGGTGTAGGGCCATTTCCTCCGCCCCAGTCGCTCTCAACCTCGGCCAAAAACTTACCGCGAGACTAGCTCTCAGTTTGTCCGGGTCAAGCTTTCGGATGTTCCACTTAGGAAATCCTCGCGAGGGGTGCGTCCTGAGTGCATCCTTTTTTCCGCCCAGCGTGAGGAAGATGTAACGATGATCCGAGAGTGATTCCATCTCCGTTTCCGTTCTCCAAGATCCGATCCTAGGCAGGGTCGCAGGTGAGACCCAAGTTAGGTCCACTATCGAGGAGCCCTGAGGTCTGACACAGGTAGGAGCCGTACCGATATTGGCCAGTCTTAGGTCATGGGCAGCCGCCCACGTTACTATCGCGTCTCCTCTGGATGTGGGGTGAGTATTCTCCCACAAATGTGACCGCGCGTTGAAATCCCCCATCACCACAAGGGGGCCTCTGAGGTGGTCAGAGATTACGTCGCTCAGGGCTTGCAGGTAGGCCCTGAATTCATTGATGCCCCTGTTCGGGGAGAAATAGCAAGAGGCAACAGCCACATCCCCCCATCTGATGACGACAAATCCTAAACCTCGTCCCAGCACCGTAACCGCTCTTGAAGCGAGAGGACCTTGCCAGGTTATGGCGGCCAGCGGGGGGTCCTCCGTCGACCCAATCCACCTAGTGTCAGCCGGAACGGTATACGGCTCCTGCAAACAGGCCAATCCACAGCCCCGCTCATACATGATCTGCATGAGCAGGTCCTGTGCTCCGATCGACCTGTTAAGATTAATCTGAATGATTGTATCTATCCTGGCTGACTCGAAACAGCCGCATTGCTCCGATCGGCCATCTTCCGTTGGGGTTTCGGGCTTAAACTAGCTCCTCTTCTCGGGGGGCAGGGTGGGCAGACGTCTGACCCAGCCCTGTGGTCGTATCTGCGTCCTGCCTCCTTACAGATTGGGCAGCTCGAAGGCCTGCCGCAGTCTCTTGCCAGGTGTCCGTCCTCACCACAATTGAAACAGCACGAGGAACGATCGACCTCGCTCGGACACCTCTCTCTAACGTGTCCGGCTGCCATGCACTTAAAGCATTGAATAGGGCGTTTTTTAAGTAAGTCTACTTTGGCTGTAGACCACCCTACTCGCAGTTTTCCCTCTTCGGCCAGTCTCATTGCTGTGTCTAGCGGACACTGGGTCCATATCGTACGAAGGCCATTTCTTGTTGATCTCGTTTGACCAAGACGAATGTCCTCCTCAGCACATCTGCCCGTCACTGCCATCGCCGTCCTGAGTTCAGTCGGACCAATCGATGCATCCAGCCCGGATAGTCTAAGTTCACCTCTCAGTGAAGGTCTCGATATTCTAACGCCAGAGTCCCGGAATGTTTCCCTTAATCTAGCCGCAAGGGTATCCGCCTTTGGGGACATATCCCTCCCAGGGATTTCTACAAGCACCGCCCCAGACATCGTAGCTCGGAGTCTTGTGTGCTCAATACCCAGCTCTTCCAGGCTCACGCTATCTCGGGCCTTTTTAACCACGTCTGCGAACTTCATGCCCTCCGGGAAGGACATGGCCACAGCCGCAGACTGTGGAGCGCGCCTACGGACAGTCGCAGGGGGCATTCTTACTGGGGGAGCCAGGTCCCTCGGCCTCGCTCCTCCATCACCTCTTGGCAGGGGTAGGAGGTCCGCTATTCCCTCCCCGTCATTCGGGTGTTCAGTTCCCTTCTTGATCAATTCTCGCGCAACTCGCGATTTATTCTTTGTCCTATTTCTAGAGGCGGGAGGGCGAACAAAGCCATCGTCCTCTGTTTGCGACTCCGTCATTACAGACGAGGAGGGCCGACCCTCCGCCGGTCCAGGTCTGTCAAGGATTCGGCGCGGGCCCAGATCGGGCCTGGGCCTACTCCTGCGGGTGTCGGGTAGGTGCTCTTTAAGGGCCCCCGCTACCGCCCCACTAATGGCCTTCGTGAGTTTAGCGAAGAAGTCCTCTCCAGGAGAATACTTCGCAACAGCCGGAGGGGAGTTCCTCGCCCTCGATGGGGTTCTCCGCGTGTTTGCCATTGACTTATCATCCATCATCTGGGAGAAATCCGCCATTGGGCTGTAGAACTCTACGGAAGGTCCAGGAGATCCTCGTGTCCCGAGCCCATCCGCCGACATCACAGCATCCCCAAGAGGCTGGACTCCGCTTCGTAGCTCCTGCACTTGCAATCTAAGTTGCTGGTTTTCTTCCTTGACTTCCCTCATTTCTCTTTGCAGCTCCAGGATCTTTGATCGCATGTATCCCGAGTCGCCCTCCATGGATGCCCTCATAGCGAGCACCTTGATCGCTTCAGAGGCCGCAGCAGTTTTAACCTTCATTGTGCGAGCGAATGATCCCTTGATATTCGCTGACTTACTTCTGCAGCTCTCCACCTCCTCCAACCATTCTGTGGCTAACGCCGCCATATCGGTCGACGAGAGCTCCTCCATTTGATCAATCAGATCCTCCACCGCTTGCTTTTGTGCATCGGTAAACCTTCCCGGGAATTGCCTGTTCTCGTCAGCGTCCTCAGGTGACGATCCCATTTTCCTCTTTTTAGCCGATGCCCTCGAGGACTCCGAGTTCCTCCTCGGCCTAGAAGCAGACGTATATGACACAAATTCCAGGTCACTGCTCCGCGGGGTACTTGGCCTGGACGACGGGTCCACCTCCATCGTTCCAACGTACTCCAAGTCCGGGGAGCCCGACCTGCTGGCAGCCTTAGGTTTCTTACCCATCGCCGGCACTTCCGCCGGTTTCTCAAAATGACCCTCGTCAGTTTCCTCTTTGTCGTGCTCAACTGAGGCCTTCGTCGGTTTATTGCCACTCTTGCGTAGCTTTTCCACATCAATGTTGACTCTCTCCATCTTCACGATCGCTGGCCTGAGCGAGGGGGTCGTGGTCCCCCCCGCCCCACTCCCTGCGCTTGATGTCGACGCGGGAGGGTAGGGACAAGAGCCCTCCTCGCGCCGTTCCTCAGGGGTCCGAGGCCCCGAGGGAGAATTATCCTTTGTTTGTCTGTCCATGTTGTCTTTAGGGCTTGGTTTTTTGCCAAGAGACCGGCTCTTGCCCCCTTTTCCCATGTCCGGATACGGGGTTCACGGACTGGTAGCAGGTCTTTGTAGCAAATATTTCCTCACGCGCGCAGGCCACACTGCCCCCCAGGAAACAGCGTTGTACGCAAAGCGTATCACTGGAGGCAAGGACAAGCGCTGTTCTCAAGAGAGCTCCTCGTTCTTAAGTGGTGTGCACTCGCTAGACCTCGTCAACCCTCGTATATCTGGAGGAGGGGCTGTAGCTCAACTCAACTCCACAATACACTCCGTGCGCAGTCTAGAAGGCGCCACTCAAAGGCCCACCTTTTCTTTCAGAGAATTTTTTAAAAACGAACAAAACAATCTAACTTAACTAAATAATTAACTACTTTATAAACTAGAAACTAATTAACGCTCAAATATTCAATAATGACAATAACGCTAGCTATATCAATAACGCTAAGAGGAAACAATCTTTCTCTCAGCAACAATAGTTAACTTAATAATAATAACGCTGCGCAAATCATCAAACAAAAGAAACACAGTAAATAACTCAAAGCCAATGGCAACGTAACAATAATAACGCAAGGGGATGAATAACACCGCGTAAATACATGAAATAAACGCATGAGATAAACAACACCTCGCAAATCAACTTTAATTCTTAAATCTTAGAACAAGAAAAAACTCAACAAGATATTCATCCAATTATATATCTAAATATCGGTACTAGAAGAAATTTTAGCACCGACAACATGAAAGAAACCCCGAGGGCCCACTATCAGCTTTAGCATCAGTAGATGATACTTTCGCTTTCACTTTCTAAGTCAGTTTTTATCGATAACCACAAGGGTTACCCCGCAGGTAAGTGCTACCGTCTGTTTTATTTATCCTCTCCTTTCTCTATGCAGCCGGCGATCCACCACAGGCCACACATCAAGGTAAGCTATATTTCATTCGCCGTAGTCCGGCACATACGCAAAGACATTCCTAATTCACTATCCTACAGATTCCACATGAGAGCCAGCCCTAAGAGGTTTCCATCATAAGCAATAATATGATTACCCGGCATGCCTTGTGCTCCCACAGTCAATCAGTATTCCCACTGAGCCACAGATAAGACTATATGACTCGCGCTTGTAGCTCAGTCTCCCCTATAGATAAGCGTATATATCTATTTTCATGAAAGTCCGGCCTTACGCTACAATTCGATCCATGCACAGCAAACTCTCAACGCCAAATACGCGGCGCAACGTCAGCGCACATCTCAACATCTTATGCTCAATGGTTGTTTTATATACAGGTTCCGCTTATGTATAACACTTGTTCTTTACGTATATAGATAGTCAGTAATAAAGAAAGAACCCGTGAGAATGCCCCGCAAGCATACGCCTCCGTGCAAATACTCTCATAGAAACCCGGTCTTACTCTACAGCTCAGACTTCATGCGTTGCGTTCTTAAAACCGGACCCGGCACTCAAGTCCCGGTGCGCGTCTCTACACTACACACTTTATGACTGATTCACATGTGAGCGCCGCTATACGCGTGGCGCTTGCCTCCCATGCATCCGCACAATCAGTGACGGAAACAACTCGCAGCAATGCCACCCGAAAGAAGTGTATATCCGCCGCGATGACAACTAACCTCTTCTGCACATCAAGTTCAACACGCGACCCCGGCACAAGGCATCTCGGAAGTTAAAATTGTGAGACTCAAACCTTGACGGCGGCCGCAACTCCCCCGTCGCTGCGTGCGGGCAAGCCCGGAGCCTACCTGTTACTCGCCCCACGCAGATTCCCGCTGTCACTCGATGATGCTTACGAGCTACGACAACACAGGGACGGAAATGAGAAAAAACACCAGGTATCCAAGAGCCCGCACCCCAGCCTCTTTTACGGGCTTTAAATGTGCGTGTTACTCGTCAATGTGTATATCCTCCCACCGTATTATATCAGTAGCGAGTTTCCCTGTGTACAGTCCCGACGCCAAGGGCGCCCTAACCTCACCTGTCAAGGTGGTCGTATTCGCCGGCCGGCTGAACCTGGTATTCGGATATCAATTCACTACAGAATTCAGTTATTGCAGCAATCTCTCTATCCTTCTCAAGTCTACTTTAATGTAAATAGGTTAGCTGCAATAATAATGCCAGTCGCAGCTTGTTCCCCTTCTAAATATCAAAGTAATGTATCCTCATACTATATTGCAATCTTAAGAACTTATGCACAGGGCACTCTATCCTTCCATTAATCATAAATATACATATGACAGACAGTCCTCTATACCTATTGATAATCTCTATTCTGACCTTATCGCTCACAGCGTATCCGCACTATCTATGTCCCCGTATTGCAACAATATCATTTAATACGGTTTCAATGATAATATCAGGTTCATCGCAAGTCAAAGATAATTAATGCCTCATGCAATTTTCAGAACACGCAGTACGGAGAGGGGCAG